CCACACATCGTCCTGTGCAAACTGAACTGAACTGAACTGAACTGAACTGAATTGAACTGAACTGGCCCTACCTGAACTGCGCTACACCGGCCTCTCTGGGTGAATTTTCTCTTCCAACGCACTGGGCACCGATCGACGGACTGGGTTGAACCTCCTTCGCAACTGCTTATATACTTTCAAAAGTTCGTTCATACAAACAGAACATTTGTACATGGGTAACCGGCGCATGCTTAAATTTTTTCACGTAAACACTTGTTTTTTTCCTGATAATTTTAAATATACGTTTCATGCATCAAAGTTTCCTAATTTTTCTGTTTTAGGACAAACAGAGGTAGACTAGCATAATACCAAGGAATTTCATCCATGTAATTGTAACTTTGGTGACTTAGCATACGGTGCCACCGATTCGTAATACACGGCACGAGTAACACGATCCTAGTTTTTGCTTCCAATGGCGCTACCAGAATGCCGCTAAAAAAACTGTTTGGGATGTTGAACCAACTGGTAAACGCAGCCCAGTACAGACCTTCAAAATGCACAGCTAGGAGTCACTTGCGTGTCCGAATTAGGACAACACGTTCTCCGTGGAAGGGGATTTCGAAACGACCTACATGACGAAAAATACAAAACAATCATGAACCAAACGGCCGGGTGAAACATCTGGGTTTCGGATTATGAGAACATCCAGGAAAGGGCTTCGGTCATTTTACTCTTTCTCGATGGTGAATTTGATTGAATTGTGGCTTGCGTTGAAAGTCTCCAGCACAGTCTCAGTGTTGGTTGTCTGATTTGTTGTGAAAAATTTATCATCAGCGTATCGACTGTACACACTAAATTTGTGTCTTGTTAGGTTTTACTCTCGAGTTTCCCCATGAGCATGTCCGTCAACAATGATCCCAGCGGAGATCCCGTTGCGACTCCATCCGCTGGTTGGTACATTCGACCATCGGACAGGAAGTGGACGCCAAATGTGCTCCAAAGCAGCAGCTCTTTCAGACTAGGAAAGAGTATTCCAATTTCCAAATGGTTTTCTGCTATGTATTCGCATAGGAATTGGATAGTTTGTAGAAGTGCAGCGCTCATGAATAGGGAAGTTACATCCACAGAGGGGATTGTTTGTGATAAAATGTTAATGTTTTTGACCTGTTCGACGAATTCGAATGTGTCCTTTGAACTGACGGGGTCCAGTAGTCGCAATAACCATTAGGCCGTTGCATGATATGGGGAGTTCTACATGTCCAAGATTGGCCTCACTGGTAAATCCGGTTTGTGTACTTTTGGGAGGCCATATAATCGTGGTATTGTCGAGCCTTGTGGTTTTAGCAGATCAATCGTTGCCATTGATAGGTGGTTACCCTCCTTCAGGGACTTCAAACACTTCGTTCAGCTCTGTTCTTTCTTCCTGGTGTCTCGAAATTTACCCCCGTCTGCTACGATGGCGTTCATTTTCTCTAGGTAATCCTTTTTTCATGAGAACAATCCCGGCTCCTTTGTCTGGTCTAGCGATAAGTAGTTCCGGATTCTGTATCAACTCTTTTAGTTTCTGTAGTTGTTTCAGTTTCAGGGTAATTCAGTATTTCTGTTTCTGATCCAAACGTTAGATCCTCCCTGTGCAACTAAAAGCAGTCCGTTCGGGCTTTAGCCTTGCCGTGGCCTCGGATAAAGTAATCCACTCAGCCACCGGGGGATGCACTAATGGACTAATCAAGATGAATGTCAGATAAACAATCTTAGCTTGCATTCTGTACTTAGTTTGATGCGATCAAAATTACATCGACAAACCGAAATAACATATAATTGTAATGGCCCGTTGATGAGTTTATCGAAAACAGCTTGTTTCACCTACCGGACTTTGTTTTCAATGTGGCAGTGGGTATTTTTCATTCGATACCTGCCTCAGAAAACATCGCTCGCCGTGGCAACCTCTTTTTTCATTACACACTTCGGTGTGATGAACAGCAGACAGGATGAACCCCATAATCACGAGGACNCGAGGACCTGCTGTTCAGTGGTGGAAACCGATAGCCTAAGCCCCGGGAATTGTAGTGGTGAACCACATACGGCCCCGATAAGTTGGGCGTGGTAGTGAACCGGACAACAGCAAAGCTGGTTACCACATGCGTAGCACAAGTCCCAAACAACGTAGTCTATGGAGGTCGACCACATGCTCCAGTGGGTGACCGCGATTACCTAAAACTCTACATCTGACCTCAGCAATGCTTGTCCGGTTTCCCCACCAGACTCGTGCAATGCGACGTAGATCGCGGTGTTCGAACACCGACAATCTATTTTTATCCTGTTCCCGTAATGGCCAAATCTCTGCACCGTAAAGCAGCACTGGTCGAACTGCTGCAACATACACTCGACCCTTCACATATAGCCGAAAATCGCGACGGTGTCACAAGTGTCTCAAGTTGGCAAATGCCAACCGACCCTTTGGTTGGCGCACCGACACCTCATCTATGATGCGTCCGCCAGGTGAGATATAGCTCAGAAAGCAAAATTTGTCTACTTCGTCTACTACTTCCTCAGTCAGAGTGAGGTTGGAAGTGGGACCAACCCAATCTTCAAAGAAACGTTTTACTCTTTAAAGGTGCAAAACGCATAAGCTAGCACTTAAACCATCCAGATAAGCTTGCAACTTACCTGAACCTTCACTTAGTAGCACAATGTCGTCTGAATACTCTAGATCAGACACTGCTCTCTGGGAGTAAATCGGTACCGCTACCATCGCACGACGGTAAGGCTGTTCGAAGAATATCTATGACAAATTCCAGCTAACCGGACTGACAACGGAGAACCCCTACCAAAACTTTGCGTTGACCACGGACTGTTTCTGTCAAGTACGAACTTCTCGCACAAGAAACGCCACCGGCTTACATGGAGACCGCCTACTTCTTCACAGCTCTGGACTCAAATCGACCACATCGCCATCAGCCACCGCTGATGGAATCCATTGAAGGCTGTCGCTCCTACTGGTCAACACTCGTGGACACGGACCATGTTCTGCTGCGAACGAGATTCTCCCTACATCTGGTGCACAACCGCAGAATAGCCACCGAAAACGGATACCCGTAATACAGTATCAACAACTGTTGCAGGTCGACCTTCGAAGCGGAACTATCAAATCGCGTCTCAGCTCAACCATCAGCAGGAGGACTCAGTGAACACTGGACGACAATCAAGGAAGCGATCCAAATATCAATCAAAAGAACGGTAGATTATGGCACACGAGCAAATAAAAAACGATGCATCTCCCCGACCTCGATTGCCTTGTTTGACGCTCGCAAAGCCATTCACGTAGATCCCGTTAGGTTCCCTGGCTGGGAACCCCTAGATGATGGTCACCGATGGTTAGAGGCACTGAGTGATATGATGGTTTCGCATACAGTGGCGCTCTTGCATCTACTCATTATGATTGCAATTTCAGTCCATATCAACTCTCTGTCTTACGCTCCAGTGCGCTCCCAACATTCTAATCTTCCTTCTGCTCTGTTATCCACGTTGATGATCAAAAGACAGCAACCAGAAGCGGCGCACGAAAGTGCATGGTTAATGGTTGTAAAAGCTGAAGATTGAAACTGCATTCCCACCACTGACTTCGGTTTGATGCCTTATCCCGCCATATGGCCACTGAAGGACAATTTGAATCTTTAGAACTTCAGACTGAACGTTGGAAAGCCCCGATGGAAGCGAGCTCTGAACACCATTCCTTCAGCGATGTACGCAGTCATATCCTGCCCGCTTCACTTTTTCTCCCAATCTGGCCCAACGTCTTCAAATAACTTACGGTATGGCAAACGTTTTCCAGGTATCCGTAAGATGTGCCCCAGCGACCTCAGACATTGCAGTGAAATGGTTTTGCTGACTGGAAGACTATCGGAGTCTGACATACGTTGTCTGGCCTCATCATCCCACTAGTGACATGGAGACATCCGGCAGCACTCAGTTATACTGCTCGTTTCGGAGTAGCAGTTAGTATAGATCCTTAATCTGCATTGATTTAAGAGGAATTTCAATAGCTTTAATGGTTATTCCGTTGTAAATCGCTCTTGCTTTATTTTTTTCGCAAAAATAACATTTTCTGCTCATATCACCGGAATACTTTCCGTTCGATTTCAGGTTTCTTATGACTGACGATAAAGAAGCTTGCGTATTTTTCAAGAAAAGAAATCGTCAGGCGATTAGAAAAAAGAAAGGTATCCAACAGTTTTGTACCCGTGAACATTCTCAAAGACTCATCTTCCAGTGAAGAAGATGCAGTTGAAGTAAAACGGAAAATTCGCAAAGCCGATTCCAGCACTCTTTACCAGACAGTTTGTGCAAACTCAATTCAATGATCACATTTTTTCCTCTCAGACGGCACATTTCACCAAAAAATCGGGTGGTGATTTGTCAAATGACGATGAGAATCAGGAAGACGAATCACTGACTGTTGAATACAAGGCATCACGATCTACGGTTAGAATACATTGTTGGCAGTTTCAACTGAGGCCTGATTTTCCCTACTAGGATTCAAGAATTACCCGTGAGCATTGTGCCTTAGCGTCTCTGGAAATCGACACGGACGTGAACCAGGATGCTCAAGCTATTTTTGAGAAGGCGCAACAAGTAAACAAGGTAAGTGTAAACTATCGACCGTGCATCAGCATTCTCACTTGACAGGAACTTGATTCCACAAAAAGTAACGTCTATCGGGGAATGAACAACTACAAACAATATATTGAAAAAAAGGACACTGTAATGGGAAATGCGTCATCTGGATTTAATCGCAAAGGCCCGATGCGTGCCCCCTCTAATTTACGAGCTACTGTTCGATGGGATTATCAGCCTGACATTTGTAAAGTTTGTTAACGGTTTGTCGGTTTCCAATCAACTCGCCATTATTCTTTGTAGGACTACAAGGAAACTGGATTTTGTAGTTTTGGAGACAGTTGTAAATTTTTGCACGACCGTTCAGACTACAAGCACGGCTGGCAGATCGATCAGGAGTTGGCAGAAGGGACTTACGGGATCGATGGGACAGATAACCGCTACGAAATTGTGCACAATTCCTCTGAAGACGAACCAGATGAGGATATTCCACCATTCTGCCTCATTTGTCGCAAGGAATACAAAGATCCCGTTATTACCAAGTAAATACTTCCATTCGTCTCAGTGTGATATATCGAATTTTTCAGGTGTAGGCACTACTTTTGTGGTGAGTGTGCTCTAAAGCGATACAAGAAGACCGCGAGGTGTTTCGCGTGTACGGCAGACACGCGCGGATTTTTCAAGTTCGCCAAGGATTTATTCTCTCGACTGGAAGCAATACAACAGAAACGCAAACGACCGAAAGATGAGTTCAGCGACGATGAACATGATCACAAGGCAGCTAATAGTGATCAGCCCATATTACATGCTTACGCTTCCGATGGGAAATCACACTCAGATAATGAATCTCCCTCTCCCGGTCATGATGGCGATCCTCTCCAAAATCAGGGAGAGAATGCGAAAGTTAAGCTACCTATCCCGGCGGAACCCAAATGGGCCCAGCCGGAGGCGCTTGAATATTGTAACTCCAGTGAAGAAAGTGACTAACTCATTCTCCTCTCCCATTTTTTGTACATATTTACGGCGTGTATCATTTAAATTTTTCTCAGTATGTTACAAATACACCTTCGTTACTCATTGCGCTTCTGCTTATGGGTAGTTAAACCACTCCTACGTGCAATGTCTGTCTTTTTTCCAGCCATGGGCCAGTAATGGAAGATCTGTACAAAATTGTGGGCTGTCCTGTCACAGCTAGTACGGAGGAAATTAAGACTCGTGTCAAAGCAGCCCGCCTACAATATCATCCCGATCGATCTGGTGGAGGTATATTCAGTAGAGAAAGATTTATTGCGATCGAGAAAGCTTGGTCCGTTCTCCAATCCCCAGAGCTTCGTCATCGATACGATAGTGCACGTACGCAAATCCGTCTAATGGAAGATTCAGCCAATGCACCGGTTCAAGCTGAACTTAGCCTGAATGAATTCATGTTCGAAATGAACTCAGACGGGTTGAAGTCATCGGATAGTCTGCCCGACGGTCTTTATTGGACTCCCTGTCGGTGTGGGGGAAGTTATTTGTTGGATTCAGTAGCTGCCTGTTGTAAAGCCCCTTTTGCATCATGTTCGGACTGCTCTCTTGTTATTCATGTCTTGTATCCACAAGGAGAATAAAAACAAGTACGGTTCATTTGTCGAAGGGGATAAACTTATTTTCAATGACACACTGTATGTATATATGCAATAAATTGTGATACAAAGTCACTTCCATCTTTTTCGTTTCCGTAATTTTCGAATTTTATGCATTCACGTATTCTGGTATTGTCACTGGATTTGTCTGGGAGTGTATGTGCTTGCTATCATTTTCACTGTAAAAGACAGATTGAAGTACAATAAATGATACGCCGTTTAACGCAGCTGAAAATGTTATATGGTGCCATTTGTTTAAGTTCGAAGTGATTTTCTATTCTCATCGTTTCTCAGGGAGTGTGTACAGGATTCGCAGTGGTTGTATGCTAATCGTAAACGAAAAATCGTGGAAGTAAAAAGTACACTTGTGGTGATTATTCGAAATGGTTTTTGATACTAATTGCACATTTCGTCTTCACAGTTTTGCCTTGCCTAATTCACATTCAGGAGTACAACCACAAGAATGACTTGATGACGGATTAACGGATGCGCATACCTGCTGAGCGACAAGGACCGAGAAACCGATGAGATAATTCTAAGAAATTTGGTTCAGTTTTTCATATCCTAGGCGATATAAAATCCCTAAAAATCGGCTTTTATTTCTAATTCGCCGAAGTTAGACTCTTCTAACGCGGAATCATCGCAATTATTCTTCGAGGTTGGCTTATTTTCAATGAGATCCTTAATATGCAAATAAAGTTTGCATTGCTTGGACACCTGTGGAGAGCCGTATCCCATGCAGCCCTCTGACCGATATCCGGATGTCATGATCGTGTTCGTCATCGGTGCCATCATCAACATGGACTGAGGCGAAGTTCACAATACAAGTGTGATTGCGCAAGATGAATCAGAAATGAACCTGTTTTGAGGGAACTTAAAACAAAGTGAAACTCCGTGATTAATAAGTTCTAACGATGCATGAAGATTTCTTCAAGCATTTTGACCTGATAAGAAATGACAACTCTCGGTTTGCTTCCGTATCCTTCTGTCTCCAACCAACCATTTAGTATTTTGGACCTCGGTCTGCGAGGCGAGAGACACCTATTACTTGAATTGGTGATGGAATGTATTGAGCACAGTGAACGTATAAACATCATGCAGGTGTATGTTCCGGACGTCTACCCAAATGGACCTTACACGTTCCCTTAGACTCGGGGTCAGAACGCACAGTAGTCCATTTTACAATGGATTGTTGCGTTTGCGCGCATAAGCCAACGCGACCACAAACTGACCAACGAAGTGACCTTTAGGATCATGTGATGCTATATAGGTGATCCATCTCTAGTACGATGGCCCGCTGAAAGACAGATTGCCCAAGTGATAGTGAAATTAAGAGGTGGCTTTTAAAGAACAAGAAGAGAGAAAATTAAGCTATAGACTTATTTTTAGTCATTTATTTCTTCCTTTACACTGATAAGATGCGCTGTCGATTCGCTGCTTCAGTCTACTTTTACTCACACACACAAACCTCAGATGGGTACATTTTAAGACTGTATTCAATCCCGAAATAATGACCACCTCGATTAGTTCACAATTGACCGTAGAAACAATCGACCATAAACGATTAATGAAAATGTAGCGACCATAAAAAGATGACATATTGTCATTCTCGAGTTCTAAAAAGGTCCAACATCATCATCATCATTGTACAGTGAAGCGATCTTGACTGATCGTTGCCAAACTCAGTGCATACAAGGTAAGTGATAATCTGTAAGGAGGACAGGGATTGGACCTATTCTTAGCGACGGGAAACAAAAGCGAACCTCTATGGCCAACACAGAGTACACAGTCCAACTGTGCATGGATACTATTTCAAGCATTCTGGTCTGAAAAGAAGTGACAGCAAGCTTGCCATTGCTATCGGTTCACAGCCATGGCCCTCAGTGGTTCCAACCATGCGGTTTCGGAGTCTTTTGGACCCCAACCCGGAAGACGAGAGACACCTATTCTATCTAATCGCTCTGTGCATTTCTTTATGCTTCGCCTTCACGTCATCTGCTGGCCTCCACGTGGCTTTCTCCAGCCTTTAACAGCCACTGCGAATAAGGCGCGCTGCGGTGGACGACCGTTGGACATACGCAATACGTGTCCTAACCAACGGAGCCTATTGAGCTGGATTCGATAAGATAGCGAATTCTTGTTTGATGTTTTCCAAACACCCGACGACTTACTTCTACGTTACTAAACCGCTCACCCCATCCCACCTGGGCCAAACTGCGTAGGCATCGATTGTCGAACACTGCTAAACGACGGATGTCTTCTACCGCACTTTCAAGGTCTCAGCCGTAAAGCAGAACTGATCGTACAGTGGCGCAGCATACGCGACTTTTCAACTTCAGTGAAACGTCACGTCGCGGTCACAAGTGTTTCAGTCCTGCGTTCGCTGCTCGAGCCTTGGAAATGCGGACGGTTATATCCTTAGATGCGCTACCGTCGTTGGTCACGCAGCTACCTAAGTACGATAAGCACTCAACTGCAGCTAATTCCTGACCGTCTAGTTTCAGAACGGAACTCGGCGACACCCAGTCTTGTAGGATCTTTTTGCACTTTGAAGGTGCGAAGCACATGCCGAGTGGAGCAACAGAACTTGTTAATCTGTCAAGTGCTCTTTGCGCATCCTCCATAGATTTGAACAGTCAAACGACGTCGTCAGTGTACTCCAAATCGCACAGCTTTTCTTCAGCTGCCCATTCAATACCTACATTTTGGAGACCGCTTAGTGCGTTCTCCACTATTTCGTCTATAACGAAATTGAACAGGAATGGCGAAAGAGGACACCACTGCTAGTTACGAACGACCTCTTCAGCTCTCCGTAGACACTTACGCTGCCAGAAGTATGTGATTAGAGTGAACTCCGTATGTTCACATACTTCTGCTGCATTCCTTAGCGAAGGTGCGAACCCATAAGGGATTCACCATCAACTGAGTCGAAGGCTCGTTTTAGGTCAAGGAACTCGACAACCGTTGGCCGATGGTGCGTATGGCGTAGCTCGAGGACTTGACACAGAGTGAAGATTTGATCGACACACCCGCGGCCTGGTCAAAATCCTGCTTGTTGTTCACGGATGTTTGTCTCCCTAAACGGTGTCAGACGTCGAAGTATAATGGAGCCTAGTAACTTGGTGACGATTGGGATCAAGCTTATTCTACGGTGGTTTGCGCAGTCGTTGTGAGATCCCTCCCTAAAATGGTTCGCTCCAAGATGGTGGAATGCGCTCATGTGACCAGATGTTACGCATTAAATCAGTAATGCAGCCTACAACGTCATTGCCTCCCAACTTGAAAAGAGTGGGGACAAGCCCATCCGGGTCTGCTGCTTTTCCTTTCTTCAGAGCTTGGATCCAATAACGAACTTCTGCTGCAGTGGGAGGTTCACATGACACTTCCCATGGGGCCGCAACTACAACAGGTGGTAGACGGTTCTGCCGTCGTCCGGGTCAGTACCACCGCCTAGCCATCGGAGCCTTATGTGGCTCGCCACTCCAAGTTCCAGGGCTAGGTTGCCGGTTACTCTCTCATATCAACATGAATAGTACAAAAATCAGAAACACTTCACAAGCGCACTCTCAATCGACCATTGCACTCACAAACATTCGCGGTTTGAACTACAACATTGATTCTGTTCATCAGTTCCTTCAGTCCACTTCCCCTCTTGCCCTATTTTTATCCGAAACTCAACTTTCCCCTTCTACAGACACCACACATCTTCAGTTTCCCAATTATTCCCTTCACACTTCGTTCATTCCCAAAGCTGGTGTTTGTGCTTTTTTATCCATCATTCAATTGTTTCTACTCCGTTCTCCCACTTAAATTTCACCAACCGCGAGTTCCAAACCCTATGGCTGAAACTTCGGTTCCCTTCTTTCAATCACTACTTCTGCACTGTCTACCGTTCCCCAAATAGTAGTGACCCCTCACTTTGATGTTTTGTCGGCTAACATAGACAACATTGTTGAAACAGACCCCAACGCTCAGTTCACAATTTTAGGTGATTTTAATGTCCATAACAGGGATTGGCTGTTACACTCTTCAGGGACATCACCCCTTGGACGTGAAGCAGAATCAGTTGCCCTTTTGAATAACCTCCACCAGCTAGTTGATTTCCCGACCCGGATCCCATTCTCATACCCTCGATCTTGTCCTCTCATCCAACCCACAATTATTTTCAAATATTGCTGCTATTCCTCCCCTAGGCTCATCGGACCATTGTCTCATTTCACTCTCTACCCAAATTATTTGTTCTGATGTTCCTCCCAATTCTAGACGCACATTTTGGCGATATGGTTCCGCCGATTGGTGCAGCTTTCGTACCTTTCTGGCTTCCTACCCCTGGAATGAATGTTGCTTTTCCACCGATGTCTCCATTTCCGCTTCCAATTTCTCCAAAATCCTTTTGCAAGGCATGCACTTATTTATTCCTCATTTCTCCAAACCCGGCAAGCCTATTTCTCCAGAATGGTTCAACCACGCCTGTTGCCGTGCTGTTCGTAAGAAGAAATCAGCGTTCCGCCGCTGGCGTCGGTCACCTTCCCCCAACTCCCGCCGATGGTTCTTGTTAGCACGTAACAAATGTTCAACCATCATACAGAAAGCTAAAGAGCACTTTATTGAGCGCAAAGCAGCACAACTGGCGACCGCTCCTTCCGGAGGCCGGACGTTCTGGTCACTCGCTAAAGCAGTCTCCCGTAACTTCTGTTCCACCAACTTTCCACCCATTGTTAAACCATCCGGTGATTTAGCATCCGACCCGTTAGAAAAAGCAGAAGTGTTTGCTTCCCATTTTGCTTCCAATTCTACCCTTCTCGAATCACCCATCCAACCTCACACCCACCCAACGNCCAAACCCGGCAAGCCTATTTCTCCAGAATGGTTCAACCACGCCTGTTGCCGTGCTTTTCGTAAGAAGAAATCAGCGTTCCGCCGCTGGCATCGATCACCTTCCCCCAACTCCCGCCGATGGTTCTTATTAGCACGTAACAAATGTTCAACCATCATACAGAAAGCTAAAGAACACTTTATTGAGCGCAAAGCAGCACAACTGGCGACCGCTCCTTCCGGAGGCCGGACGTTCTGGTGTGGTTTGAAACAACATTAGTGTTGATAGTTTGCGAGCTGCCCTTGGTGATGACGCGCGCTGTTTGCGTGGTATGCACAATTCAAGCTTAATAGGCGGTTCCTGAATGATGAGACACGGTGTGTTCGACCTGGGGAGTCCACTACATCGGACAACATGGTTATTGTGCAATCGATGGCAGAGGAGGATGCGCGAGTGACAGTGGCACAGCTGGCGAAAGCTATCAGGATCTCATCGAGATCAATCCTCACTATTCTGTGTGAGAAGCTCAGCCTCAGCAAACTTGTGCACGCTTGGGTACCCCAATCAGTTCACTGGAAAACAGAAAGCGCTTCGGATGAATTAGTGCCGCACTATGTTTGCCAGGTTTGATGGTTGACATTCTAATGTAGTTTGGAAGATCACCAGTGTTGATTTGACCTGGCATCCATAGACCAAGCAGCAATCGGTTCAATGGACACCGGTTGGTGGGGTGCCACCTCAGAAATTCCGACGCCAGTGCAATGTGGCCAAGCAGATAGTGGCTATTTTCCTAGCCAAAGCTAGTCATGTGGCTATTGTACTTCGCGTACGGCAGATTGCAATCACTGGAGACTGTTACGCCACGTACTGTTTACTGCTGGAAGCCGTTGCCAGGCTTCGTCCAGGGGCCCGAGCATGAGGGACCTTGCTGACCATAGCAACGCTTATGCACACAGGTTTCATGTCCTCGGCGGTTTTCTGGCTATGGAACGCATTCAGGAGGTTGGTCACCCACCCTACAGTCCAGACCTGGCACCAAGTGACTTTTTTGTGTTGCCAAATGTCAGTCGCATGATGCGTGGAATGCGATACCAGTCACCAACAGCTGCGATGGAGGCCTTCATTAAACTGGTCGTAGGGTTACTGCTTCGGCATGATCGGGCTGTTTCACCAAGTGATTTGAGCGCATAGAACTCTGCCTGACAGCTGACGGAGAATACCTCAAGCAAGTGTAACGCTTATTTCTGTGTAACAAATAAAACTTTTTGTGCACTCGGAAACGTTTTGCTCAGCCCTCGTATATCATGGATTCCGCTCAACCGAACGAGCTCGGTTAGTTTATCACAGAACTCGCTATTTTGGTGTGTCAAAACTGAGCTGGTCCATACATACGATAAAATGACAAACAAACACTTTTTGGTGTTGCTCCCATCCTGAACGCTGAAGGCCCCTTGGAGCCGCGTCACACATAAGCGACTGTTGACAGGGATCCAATCGAGTAGTGCGGCCTCGGCTATATTGTTGATTATAATGCCTACTCCACACTGAGCTACTGAAGGGGCTTCGTCGTCACCTAATGTGAGGAGGAATTACTTTGAAGTCAAGTCCGATACCCCATCACGACAAGACTGCACCTTGACGTGATGTGATGGCTTGCGCACCTCTGTGACTCAACGAGCTATACAACTGGCTTTTGTCAAGCCGCAGATCTAATCATGCCCGGAAGGTCAATGGGTAGAGGTCACAGGAAGTCCAGTGTCCCGGTCTTCCAGGTTGGAGGTTCGACTCGAGGTGACGTCTCATTCGGTGGAATGGTAGAGTAATAATCGATCCAAGTAATGAGTCACTACTTCGCTTTACCCTCTGTCTCGCGGTCAGTTTATTGTTAGAACTAAATGCTTTGGACGAGAACCCTGATCGTTTTCCTGCTCAGTGGCCGGACACCCTGGCAGTACCCGTTCATCAAACTCTAATGCATACACGAAATAAAAATAAGTTCATACTGCATCGGTCGTCGCGCAGGATAATCAGGACGGCGCTGCCCATTGCATCGAGCGGAATAGGCTACTGCCATCACGACAAGACTGCACCTTGACGTGGTGTGATGGCTTGCGCGCCTCAGTGACCCTGCGAACTACACAGGATGGCTTCTCACAGCCGTAGATGCAATCATGCCTGAAAGGTCAACGGGTAGAGGCCAGACGAAGACCAGTCTCACAAGGCCAGCTGCTTGGGCACCTCCTGGCTTCTTTCTCCCATCCACACNCCGCCCCCAGCCAATAAGGTGCTGTCCCGTCCGCGTTCCGCTTGTCTCATTGGGTGCATGAACCCGAGGGCTGATCCCGAAAAACGGACCGAAAATCAACGCACCAGCGAACAACACAATCAATCGAAATTCAAAGGCATTGCGTGACAGGTCTCTAGAAGCTTTCACACGGGTGCTCCGTTCACGCTCCCGCGTTGGATTTACGCCCCCATACCTTGTGGGTCAGACTTTTGAGTCAAAGGCTCCGGTTAGGGTTCCCAATGGAAAACCCCTTCGTTGGTGTGGTCTGGCGCGAAGTATGCCATGCCCTAAAGTCTTGGGCATCCATTTGGAAAGCGATCCTTCCCTTCTGACTAGTTCTTCT